ATTTGAAGAAACACTAAGAGGAAATACTAAGAGGATATGCTAGGAGGATCTACTGGGAGGAAATACTAAGAGGAAATAATTGGAGGAATAATTAATTTCTTCAATTGAAGAAAATACTTGGAAGAAATGGTTGGAAGAAATATTTAAAGGAAATACTTCAAGGAATTACTTGGAGAAAATAAATGGAGGAATCAGTATTTTCTTCACTTGAAGACTGACTGGACTTTCTGGACTTACTTGGAAGAAATACTTAATGGAAATACTTGGATTACAAAATACTTGGAGGAAATACCTATCGCTGTCTTTTACTTATTTTCTATACAATGCAGTAATACAATACAAATGTTATTAGCAAACAGTTGGATACAAATCATATTCCCTTCAAATCATACACGCTTCTCATATTGCATGACGTCAGGTATCGCTGCCCGCTATTACAAATACACATTTGTACAGCAGCAGCAGCAGCAGCATAGTGCCCAGATTAGAAATATTACCGCAGTAAAGAATTTGCTCTATTCATATGGGATACAGAGTTAATTTACTGCCTCGATATGCTTTACGGATAATTGTTATTCATTAGTTCGCACACTAATTCAACGTGCATACTTATATTTCTGCTCATATATGTACACATAGATATGTATATATGTAGGTAATGTGCTTGTGCGAGCTGGTATATTTATGTGCCTTTATGGTGTTACAACTATACAAGCCAAATGGCGGGAATCCATCACAATTTACAGCGCAAACGGACCAAAGTTGGCAATAAAATTTAATTTATATCCTGTGGAAATACTGCTGTTGTTTGTTATTGTTGCCGCTCTTGCTGCAGCTCCCGCTACTCCTGCCGCTGTTGTTGTTGCTGCTGGTTTAGCCTCGGTAACGGCAAACGCGTTCGAGTGTTTGCAAAACATTTAATTCCATTTTCGATTGCTGTGGAATGTATGCAGCCTAGGGTCAGCTGTGGGCCGGCAAGGGGAGCTGAGGCGGGGGCACGCATATGCCACATGAGCCACAGCCTGGCATATTAATGCAATAGGGTTGTGCTTGAGGTGGAGCTGGCTGGGCTGCGGACTCTAGAAGAATGCAATTGCAAATTCTCGACAAATTTGAAATTTGAATTGGCAAAACTACCTGACAGACAGCTAGACACACAGGGCAAGGCAGCCAGACAGCTCGCCTAGTGTCATTTGTAAGCGTTGTCCAGCATCCACTCGAACAGCATTTGTTTGGGTTACCAGCCCCAATCTTCCCCTCAGCTGCAGCTACAACTGGAACTTCTGCTGCTGCTGCTGCTTCTGCTGCTGCTGCTGGAGCAGGGGCTCCCAGTACACTGAATGAATCAGGGCAATTGAAGTGCTTTAAAGTGCTGCATAGCTGGCACATAAATAAATGTTTGCACATTTACTTTGCCTTCTCTCTTCTTTCTTGTGCTTGCATTCAATGGCCGGCTACAACTGTTCCTGGTGTTGGGCTCATTGCCTCTGGCTTCGATTCGTTGGGCTTCCTGTTCCCAGCACGTTCATAACTCAACTCTGCTGCCGTTCCTGCTGCTCCTGCTGCTCCTGCTATGGGTGGGTGGGCGTGCTGTTTGACGCTTTATTTGCTTGTAATTTGAAGCTGACTGTGCTGCAATCTCGATACAAATCCACAACAGCTCAAAAAGCAACTTGAACTGCACGGCAGTGCTATGCAGTTAAAAGGACTCTGGATTCCCCAGTGCAGCATTGCCATAACTTTGTATATTGTAATGGCGATGCGATTGACCGAGTCTGCCACAAGGATACAAACATCTATCACATGCACCCAGCCTCAAACCCACCCCCTACCCCCACAGAGCAGCCACCGCTGTGAGTCACTAATTTCCAAATCAAACTACTTCAAAAGACCCGGCGAATGCGGTAATGCGACAGCTCTGCCAGCTTAAACAGCTAGTTGAGGGCGATTAGAGTCGGACCCAAGCAGAACCAAAGCCCATTCCGATAATGTGAGCATGGCCAGCTGTTAACCAGGGAAGCGCAGTTACCTGAAGATGTGTAGCAAGTAACGCCAAGAGTCTGAGCTAAACTAGAAACGATAAAGCTTTATATAAGGTTAGGAGCTTGTTGGAAATCCTACAATTAAATACTTCATTTGATTTAATCATTTAAATTATATAAGTATAGATATGGGCAAAAAGACCTTTGCATTTTTTATTACAATATTGAATTATTTTATTGATGCTTCAGTATGTATTATATTTTGTCTCATATATTTCCCCACAATCTCAATTGATTCTTAAAAGTTGGAACATGATCGTTTTGCCAAGCCAGGTCTTATATTACTGGAGCTGCATCCATAAACCTTTAAATTTAGCAATAGCTGATCTCTGTTAAAAATAAGTTTGTTTATTGAATGCTACAAAAATGTTCAAGATAAATTAAGCAACAAAAAAGTAAAATAGAAAAAAAACTGATTATCATTAAACTGATTAAATCAGATGTTCGACGAAAGTAATGAAGAAAGTAAATGAAATATATACATATGTGTATATAAAAAAAATATATATTTTTTTAATATTAAATAAAATTTAAAAAAATAAATAAATAAAAATATATATACAACTGATTATTTTTAACAATAATTATTAATCCTTCATAACATTATTTCAACTTATTTCTTATTTTTACTCCAGCTGACCGTTACAGTGCGGACACCAATTTTTTAAGCTCAACGGAATGTAACATTTTATCTCAAATAAAAAATTGTTAAATAACTCCGATGCTTAAAAGGAAGCATTAGCAATCTTTGCAACTATTCCAAATGCTAGTATTATATGGGACTTACTGAAGTGATCAGGTTTATTGCGACTCTTAAGCTATTATGTGCAAGCTCGGCAAAGTTTTTTGTGCTCGGCGCTTGGATTGGCCATGGAAATGGGACTGATAGGTGAAGTTAGATTTGCAGTTGACAGTGCTTTGACTCTTTTGCCTCTTTTTGGGGGCAGTTAGCAAAATGTCACGTAGCAAATGTGACAGCGTGGTCAACATAATGAATGTTACCCCAACCCCTCGCTAGACCCGGAACAGAGCAGCGAAAAGTGCAGCATGACGCAGGTGCATGTGTTACACTCACTGACTCTGTGTGTGTGCGAGTGTGTGTGTGTGTGTGTGTGTGTGTGTGTGTGTGTGGGTGACTTTTGTGCTACTATAACACATGCACTTTGGGAGTTCATGTCTCTGGCATTGATTGCCTTGGCGGCGATTGCAATAACCCAACAGTATTGGGAGAGAGAAGAGGGCAAAAGCGCGCCCAAATGTCACGACATTACAGGGGGCATTCGATTGGGGCTGCTGGCAACGGATCCAAAAATGTGTCCATGCACGTGACACTTGAATGCAATTTGCAATTTGATTTTCTTCCTCCTTCTTCACAGTTGCAGTCCCAGCTCTAACTTCAGCTCCAGTTCCACTTCCCGTTTCAGTTCCAGTTGTTGGCTGCATAAGTTCATGTGTCCAATTGATTTCTGTATCTGTGTGTGTGTGTGTGTGTGTGTGTAGGTGTCAGCCCTGTCTGTGTGCGTGTCTTCGTATTGGCGTCTTTACATTGTTACACTTGACCAATTCGTATTGCAATTACACACCTGATTGTAGCCATCTGCCTCCTGCTAGCCCACCGCCGCCTCCTGCCACCTACTCACAGTTGACTTTAGGGTGCTGCAATTGTGCCGAACAACGATTTGTGTTGGCTTTTCGTTGTTTGCCAATTCCCAACTTCTCGCCCACTCCACCACACAGCCCCAAGCACCCCTCCCCCACCCCATCTAAGAAGTAAGTAAGAGCCAAAAGAGGTTGTTTAGCTAGCAACTGCTATTCCGAGTACTTTTTAAGTTATCTTCGCTTTAATAGACTCTAATGAAATTCCGATCTGGATAATTACAAGTGGTTGTCATCCGACCCACTCATTACCCACTCGAATGGAGCTGCGCGTTTCCAATAAAATTGATTGCGTTTTCTCTGCTGGCTATGTGCTACGAGTGTTTGCACTTAAAAGCTCCAACAGCAGTTGAGCACTGCGCTGACATTTGATTTAAATGGAGCAGCGCTTGTAACCGGACATAGGCCAACAAGTTGGCCCGTCCATCTGTCTGTCGCTGTGTCGGTCTGTTTGTTTGTGGTTCATTTAGCTGCTGCCACATTTCCAGCTGCTAAACGACCTTCAATGAGCTGACACCCACACGCGGCTAAGTGCGTAAGCTACTTCATATTCAAAGGCTTCCTTCCTGGCAGCAGCACTCATGTGGTTATTCACGTGCCAAATCAATGGGATATTTCATTTTGTTAATTAACGCCATGATAATTGAACGTGACACCACCTACTAGACTTGACAAGCACTTTACCTAAACGTATTTCTTACCGAAAAGAGACTTTAGTTTAATTTAAGGATTACCATGGATTTTGTCTGACAGCCGACTGTTAAAATTGACTGGCTGACTTAAACTAAACTGAGATATTGCTAAACTAAGCTTGGCTTAACTGAAAAGATGTTTATAAATCGGGCAGTAAACCAAGTGTTGAACCTGATAACAGCTTTAATTGCCCTAGAGCTTTTTAAATGGACATTTGTGCTTAACAACCAGTTGCTAGACTTAACATGTACTTGCTTGCTGAATTAAAATATGAATATAAAATAATAATAAAATACAACTTAAATATCATTAAATATATATAGCCAGCTGCTGGAGTGGACAGGCAATTTAATTTGTATTCAGATGGAATTTTTTATAGATTCAGCCTGACAGCCAGCTGCTAAGCTTGACTAGCAGTTTAACAGAAAATATATCTGAGTGAACTGAACTTAAATGTTATAGCAGAAAGTTAAGTTTCACAAGAAATTCAAACGGAACAAAACAAAACTTTATTGAACTCTCAAAATTGTCATGGTGTCAGAGTATGACACCCTCTGTTAAACTTGACAAGCACTTAAACTGATTGCCTATGTTTCAAGAGAGAAACTCTGTGTAAAAGTTGCCTTCGACTTGATTTTTACAACTGCTTTTATTGTGTGTTATTTTGTTTTTCTATATATAGATCGTTTTCGATTTATCGTAGTGTTTCTGGTATAATTTCAAAATGCCATCAAGTTTGTAAGTATTTGCATTTGAATGCAATTGGCAATCATCTCAGTTGAACAGTTGCTTCACACAGAAACTCTCTGATGAACCGGCGCGACTGCCTGGGCAGCAGCGGCTCCAGGAACTCTGCGCTCAATCTCGTCCTGAGTCGCATCAGAGGTGAGGTGGAGGAGGCGCATGTCTACAGCATTATAATCCGACAGAATCGCATGCGGGAGCTGTACGAGCGGGATATGGAGCTGGTGAGGCTGGAGATGAATCAACTGAGGGCGACGCAAGTGGTCAACAGGAATCGCTTCAGATCCACGCCGCTGGGCATGGTCCCCATTGCAGTACGGTATATTAACCAAATTCCGGGCTAACCAGGCGGCGGGCAATACCTTTCGGGGCAACAGTTGGCCATGGAACGTGGGGTCTCGAGGTGTGTTGTTCGTCAAGTGAAGCGAAATAAATGTTTTATTTGATTATTAAATTCTGTATATTTTATTGTTGTACTCTAAATTTTATGCAGCGGTCAACGCTGTCTGCAGGCAGCATAATAAATTGATTTGCATCAGGGTTTTTGTTTGCGGCCATTAATCTATTTGGAGGACGCCACGCCCCTAGCAGAATTTGCTATTTATTGTTTAATGAATGAATGGGAAAATTTCCATGGGGGCGTTGCTTGTGCGGCGAATCCTTTAAGAGCTGAGTTGAGCTGAGCTGAGCAGAGCAGAGCCTTGTCTTTTTGTATCTGTGTTTGCTTTTGTTATGCCTCCTTTGCTTTTTCTTTTTTGTTTTTTGTCACCGTGCAGCTTGCAAATTCGCTTTGTTTATGTTGATCCACCCACACACAGTCACACAAACTGAAAACTGATTATTATGGCTAGATTGTTGTTGTGCTGCGGTTGGGATGCAATAAAAAAGCCACTTGTAATATTAATTGAAAGCTAAAGATAAGCTTCTGGGGCGAGTGTCCTTTCTCTAAAAACCTTTTAGTGGGACCGCAGTGGGGCGTAGTGTCACTTCATCATCATTTGTCATTGTCTTGGCTGGCAGGCGGTTAACGGAGTGTGATGCGCCATGGCCGGCCCATCCCGCGGCGCCATCTCAATTTTTGCATACTCAATAGGTAGCTCGAGAGATAAGACTTAGAGTGAATGGACGATGCCTATTCGGCAGCCTCAATGCATTCAGATGCACTTCCGCTGAACTTTGCGTCCCTTTGGCTGCCTCTGCTCTGTTTCCGTGTGCAGTCAGCGATGTGCTAATCAAATTATAAATTGTTCCCATCGGAAAAGTCGTTCAGTGCAGTGCAGAGCCGCGCCGTGCCAAGGCCTGTCCCGGCCCGGGGGCCTCAAGCTGACATTGTCGTCATCAGCAGGGCCGTGGAGATGCCATCATAACTCTGATTCGATGGAGCACAAAAAATGGAAAAGGGAAAAGGGAAAAAACTGAAATAGGGGAGAAACGAGCCGCGCCTGCAATCCCATTTTTTCTGCACTTTTATTCCATTCCTCTGCGCTATTTAGGCGCTATAATGGAAAACGCCATCGGATGGCAACACATCTGGGTCGCGCGGCTCCATTTGCAATTGCTGGCCTTTTCAAGTTCTTTTTTCTATTTTTTTTTTTTTTTTTTTTTTTTTTGTGCAAAGTTTGTGCGTGTAATTGAGCGGGCGTCGAGCATCAGGCGATGGGCCCTCGCGGGGATGCAGCCAGGTGTTCGACTGTGGCCCACGAGGGGCACATTAAACAATGCATTCCTTTAATTAACAATTTTTATGCTGCCCACATCTGGTGTGTGTGTCTGTGTGCATATGTGTGTGTGCAGGACTTTTGTTTCACGTAATTGATGTTTGTATTGACATTCGTAATACCCTAGCCAAAAAGGTAGCATAATTGTTAGCACTCGATTTGCCAGAGCTGTCAAATGGGACAGGCCGTAAGTGCATATAATTGAAATGCAATCCAATTTACAGTTACCTGTTAACATTAATGTTAGCTAGACACTACAGTTGATTTGCAACATTAATGCAAACGTCAAGGTGAATAGTAATCGCTGCTTTATAAATTGCGAATCATGCTATTAATTCACTTAATAAATACAAATTTAATTAATGAAAAGTTGATTGATTGACCTATGCTCGATTTTATATCGCGCCCATCTATTTAATTTAAATATTTCTATTGTCTCGTAATCATAAGTTAAATATGGAATTCTATAAAATAAATCTATATAATTAAACAAATCTCTATTCTTTTAATTAAAATAAAAAATTAAAATTTTGAGAATTCAAATTTAGATTATTTTACACAATCTATGTATTTTCGATTTCCGGAAGCTAATTTTACTAAATTCATATGCCAGCATATACATCTATTGATCTTATAAAACGTCACATATGGTATGTATGCCATTTGATGATATTCTATGGTAAAATTATTATATTTCACATAAAGTCAGTAAACACCATGCCATTTGAATATTTATGTTGATACATAAAAATCAGCATAAGATGAAATTTTATCTATAAGATACTTATGGTACTTATTCTATCTACTAACCACGCCGTCTATGCATAACTGTCTTAATATTTAAGCTAAGCCCCCTGCAAAAGTGCACAGATTTAGCTAAATCCTGACTAAATTATACATTCTTTATCCAAACTTTACCAATAAGCACACAATTGAAATTCAATTCAATAGTTGACACATTAATTTGTACTGACAAACCTCAGCTTGGCCACATCGTAGATTCATATTCGTTGTGCAATCATGCAAAATGAAGGATGTTTCCTTTTCATACTGCGTTGCATTCGAAATTCATTTCTTTAATAGTGAAATCCATTAACACAAATCTTTTTGGCATTTCCTTACCTCTAACGAATTGTGCTTCTTTATTTCGTGTATTTGTATTTGGGTTTGGTAGTCTCGTTGCTGTTGGCTTGGCATTCAGTTTGTGTTCCATTTTGCAAGGGAAAATCTGCAATCACCTTTGTGATTGTAGTTTGCTTTTCAGCTTTATCGCAATTCCATTCAACAGTTTTCGCTTTGTGCACTAAAAGTATTAAATTTCCTCAAATACCCTGCACTGAAATAATCCAAGCAGTTACGTCTAAGACGTAATATTCCAACAGCTGCAGCCGGCTGTGGTCGGCCTTTCAAGGGGAATTCCCCTCATTTTATTTCTTTGGTCAGCACTGGCACGTCCTTTTCTCGCACTCATCTAAGCCAAGAGGGAATGCTTTTAATGGTTTTGCAACCATTTCTTATCATTATCAAGGATAGCGTTTAACTTTAAACGACTTTTGTATTGTGGTTCCTCCTGCATTTTCGTTCTGTTTGTTTTCCTTCTCGCCGTTGTTGCTGTTGCTGCTGCTGTTGCTGTTGTTGCTACTGCTGCTGTTGCTGTCCAAATTGTTTTCGCTGCATTGTCTCGATTGCATCCAGAACTATAATTGTGGAACTGGGCTCCCTACTTTTGGCGCATTTCCGTCAGCTAACCGTGATGCGTTTCACTTTTTCCCTTATGAATATATGTATTATAATAGATATAGTGTTTTTAAATAGAGTAGCTCTAGGTTTTTTTTATTTAAAAAACCTTTAACACCTTCATATCGCTTAATAACATTTATCAGCCTCAGTTACTTACTTATTACAGTTACTTACTTATTATTTTAGATATTATTTATGTCATCTGTAATCTGCAATAGCAATTTTTTCGCTTTTCATCTTTCCCAATTCAACTTTATATTTTTGAATTCTTGCCGCCAATTGCATATAAGCTTTCGACCTTTAAAACGCCCTTCGTGAATACAGGGCTGATTTAGTTTAACATTTATCGATACTATCGAATAAAGCTTTAGAGCACTCCGGCTATGGCCACATGACATTGGCTGAAAGTGGATAACACAGTAAAGTGTAAACAATAAGAGATAATATATATAATATATCTTTATATGAACATTTTTCTAGCTATTAAGTTGATATCAAATGCGCCGGGAAATAAATTTCATATATTCATTGTGTTGAGCTATTAAAGCTAAACAGAGAGCTAAACACAACACAAGATACTAACAAATGGAACCCAATTTCAGCTCGTGTCATTCGAGTTGAAACTCGATTCGTGAATTTGAAGCCAAGGCACCTAAAAGTTGAAGCACATGTTGAAGTCGTTGTTGCTGCGCCGAGACTTGTTGCAACCGCATTTGCCACAATTAATTGGACTTTGTATTCGATCTCCCATCCACTCGAAAAGTACAATCTCGAGACGCACATTCTGCAGCGAAATGAACGACATTATTGAACTGGACGCAGCAAAGAGGCTAGCAGCCGAAACAGCCGTGGATCAATATGTGACCGAGGATACGAAAGTTTTGGGCATTGGTAGCGGCTCAACCATCGTGTTTGTCGTCCAACGGCTTGCGGAGCGCGTCTGGAAGGAGGGCACACTGCCAGAATTGATCTGCGTGCCGTCATCGTTCCAAGCACGCCAACTGATACTCGATCACAATCTCACATTGGGCGATCTGGATCGTAATTATAAAATCGATGTTTATATTGATGGCGCCGACGAAGTGGACAGCAGCCTGGTGCTAATCAAAGGCGGCGGCGGCTGCCTGATGCAGGAGAAGATAGTTGCCTCGTGCGCCAAGACAGTTGTCATCGTGGCAGACTATACAAAGCGCTCGCTCCGCCTGGGCGAGCAATGGTGCAAGGGCATACCCATTGAGGTTGCGCCGATAGCCCATGTGCCAGTCAAGCATAAGATCGAGGAGCTCTTTGGGGGCGAAGCACAGCTACGTATTGCCCTGAAGAAGGCTGGGCCCATTGTCACCGACAACGGGAATTTTCTGTTAGACTGGAGATTTGTTGCGAAACGTGAATACGACTGGGACGAGGTGAATAAGGCAATATCTATGATACCGGGTGTCCTGGAGACTGGTCTATTCGTCAACATGGCACACAAATGCTACTTTGGAATGGCCAATGGCACCCTTAAGGTCCAGAGCAAATAGTTCTCTGATCCGATCCATTCAAAATATTCATATTAATACTACTAAAATGTTACAGCGCATGAAAACAAAATAAATAACTAGGGATTACGCCCGATATCCTTTACACAATTGATTATCAAGTCTTTAGTTATCCTAGCTAAAACGATTTCTTGCTGCGACCCGGCAGCAACGTCTCTTTAATATAGTTGAAGAACGATAGCAGTCCGACCTTCTTATTACGCGAAAAGTAATTGCTGACCACATCCGGATTGCTGCTGCCCATGAGCCGGTCGTTGCCGCTGACCGTGGTGGGCAGCACATTATCGTTGGCGCTGAGCGAGACGAACAGAGCGAAGGGAACCATCCACAGGCAGATGGTAAAGTAAGCAAGTACCTAAAACGGGAATACACAAATTCAATGACATAAGATATGACCTACTGGATATCTCCATGGCTCACCTGTGTGAACGGTACATAGACGCTAGTGAAATATTGAAATGCGAGCACATGATTTATCACCAGCATTGCCACGGATCCAATTAAGGGCACCGAAAACAATTGTATGAAGGGAAAATTATTCATTATACTGAAATGGAAGCCTTGCGCTACTAATCCACACAGCATCATGGTCCATGAAAAGTCCTCAAAACATATCAGGAGAAGGTATACAAATATTGTGAAACTAATCATAAATAGTATACAACGTCGAGCTGGCGTTGTGTACTCCTCTGCCAGCTCGGCCAGATAGTAGAGGCCAGCCACTGTAAAAGTGTATAAATTAAAGATATATTTCATAGTTTGCTGTTAACCTATGTACCTATAGACAGTGTCATGAAGGTGATCTGTATAGCTAATGAAATCCAACTAAGTATAAACAGAAAACTCATGTTGCTCAAATTTTAGGAGTTTATCAGGAACCAAAACAAAACAATGACTCGACACATCGATAACATTGATAGCCGGCGATTAATTTTAGGCAGTGCTGCCACCTTGTTGATGCACTGTGTGAAATTAGATGTCATATAATCTGCAGAAATATCTGCACAGTCATATTTTTTTTTCAAATGTTTATTTCACATCCATACGAATTGTAATGGGTTTTATAATTCATTAAATTAAATAAATATTTAAAAAAAACTACATTCTACATGCCCGGGTAACACTGTCGCTTACCTTTGACATGGCGTCAACCTTTTCAAGATGAAATTCTTTTCGCTGACCATGTACAAGCGACTCGTTTATCGCTCCTCTCTATGGTGCGCGGTCACACTCCTTCATTGCCAAAAAGAGAAGCGCGTGGTTTAGCCGCATAGAATTTGCATATTAATAACGCAATTGAATCAATTATAAATATATACAAAATTAAATATTTGGTTTATAGTTGAAAGTGCGTAATCAAATCCAATCAGTAAATTGGCAAGTGCAGCAGAACGAGCTAGTGTCCAACGCTTGCCGCGTGGAGCTCTCGAAACATGTCGAATGCGAATGAGAATGGAAGTGCCGGAGTGCAGGAGGAAGACGATGCTGAAATGCCCAATGCACCAATTCGAAATGATGCATCACTCGACAATATTGTGTTTGCAGCTGCTTATCAAAGCGACGACAGCTTGAATGATACATTAGACCAAGCTGGCCAAGAGGAAGCCGAGGCTGATGCAAACAGCATGGAAAATTCACCTGAAGAGGCCGCAGAGGTTGATGCTGAAACGGATGCTGAAGGTGATGTTGAGGGTGATGGTGATGGTGATGGTGATGGTGATGGTGATGGAGATGGCGAGGGGGACGGCGACGGAGAAGAAGAAGCTTCCGAAGATGGCCAAGAAGCGGACAACGGCAATGCTGGGGATGATCCAGCAGCGGACAGGCGCTCGGCCACGAAAAAGGAGCTCACACAAATCATTGACAAATGGGAGCAAGAACAAACACAAGCCGGCTACGATCCCGTGCCGACGCTAAGAAGGTAACCCAAATTTAATAATAATAAATTATATTTATTTAAATAAAATTACTTTTAGTCTGGCCGAGATATTTGAGCGTGAAAAGGACTCATACATGCGTAAGGATCCGGATCCACTGGACTTAAGGCACCCCTATCGCACCGATCCCAGCTGCCAATATGGACTGTTGCTGAAGCTGCTCTTTCGTAAAGATCTGTTTATGGGCAAAGTATGAAAACTCTGGAAATGCAAATTTAAGAATATAATCTAGGAATCTAATGCTTAAAAACACTTTCAGCTTCTCAACGATTATCTGCGAGACAACTATTTCAGTCGCCAGAGCATAAGTCGCAGCTCCCTGGAGCTGAATATTATTGCCTGTCGGCTCATATTGGTCGTGATGCCGGGTCTTGAGACGACGGCTGTATTCCAGACGGCCGAGGAAGATGGCATAATTAATCGGCTCTACAATTGGGCAGAGGACAGCATTGAGCCGCTGCAGAGCTATGCCACAGGCCTGCTGGCCGCTGCCATGGAAGTAAGCGATATAGCGATTACCTGTCGGGAGCAGAACATGCGTCTGGTGCCCAAAATGATAAACCGGCTGCATTTGTTACTGGCATGCAGTCGAATGAGCAAGAACACCACAACAGAGCCGAGCTCCTCGCTCAACAACTCCACGGACAGCAATATTTCGCCGGGCATGCTCAGCTGGATGGCGTGCGGTGGCGCTGCGTCCGCCCCTCAGTCGCCGCAGCATAACGGCACCAGCGGCAGTGCTTCCAACATGTCCATTTTGTTTGAGAATAGTCGCGATGCGTTCTCCATGTCGCGCTATTACAAGCGCATGTATATACCACTGCATCCGCCCACAGCGGACACCAGCCAAATGCTCATCATGCGCTTCCTGACCAGCCTGGGCGAATACCAAGAGTTCTTGGCTATGGCCTTCGGCAACAATGTAATGTCGCTGATCTTTGGACATCTAGAGGAGCTCGATAGACGCGACACTTGCCTCGCCTACGAAGTGCTCAAATATCTAGCCTCGTTGCTCTGCCACAAAAAGTTTGCACTGGAGTTCATATCGCGTGGCGGCCTAGAGGTAAGCTTCATCATGTGTAGGATTAGAGTTACAGATATTTAATGTATCATTTCGATATTTCCAGCTGCTATTGAATGTGCCACGACCCAGTTTGGCCACCACGGGCGTCTCCATTGCCATTTACTATTTGGCATACTGTGAGGATGCTATGGAACGGATTTGCAGCATGCCGCGTCCATTGATATCGAATCTAGTACGGTACGCGCTATGGATACTGGGCCGCTGTCATGACTCCTCCAAGTGTCATGCCACCATGTTCTTCAGCTTGAGTTTCCAATTTAAGGCAATACTCGATGAGTTCGACGCACAAGATGGCCTTCGCAAGCTCTATAATGTTGTAAGTAGACGCTAAAAATAAATAAACAATATTGTTTATTTCACAAATTTTCCATTGCTTTTGCTGCAGATATCGGTACTTAAAATTCTCGATCCCAGTCATAACGACAACGACAATGGCTCGGAAATCAATGAGGATGTCGAGTGCGCGTCGCGTCAGATGGTGCGACACGTGTGCATCGCATTGAAGCGCTACATGGAAGCGCATTTCTTCTACAAGTACAACAACTTTCTGTGTCAGCACTATGCGAGCTCATCGGCCTCATCGTCGCACTACTTTAGCCAACAGCCTACTGTGGCCGCCAAGCTGACATTCGACCAGTTGCACGAGCAGATACGTACGCTGCAGGAGCACACCTCTGTGCGCGCTCATTGGGAGCCCGTGGATCAGCTAATGAAGCTGGGCGGCATTACGATGCTCTTGCGCATCATTGCCTTCAGCTACGATTGGGTGAACAATGGACGCTCGGAGACGGTGCGCTCGGCCCTGGATGTGCTCAGTGTGTGCTGTGTGATACCGCGAGTCTATCTGGTGCTCTGTGAACGACTGCAGATGCCGGATAAGACGACAACGTCTGGTTTCTGTTCAGTGCTGGGCGCAGCGGCCGGCGAGATCACAGCCGACGCTGAGGTACTGAAATCAGCTCTGGCCGTGCTCTGCCATTGCGTATGCTCGCCAATCATACGAAAGGACAGCAGCAGCAGCAGCCTCCTGAAGTTTGGCAACTCGTCGCGCAAGAACAAAGCCAACCAGAAATATGCCGAAGAGCTGATCGAGAAGGTGTGGGAGTCGGTGTGCTCAAACAATGGCATTGTGGTGCTCCTCTCACTGATGCAAACCAAGGGACCCATCACCGATGCCGACTGCATACGCGGCATGGCCTGTCGCGCTCTGGCCGGGCTGGCCCGTTCTGATCGTGTACGGCAAATCATTAGCAAGCTGCCCCTGTTTGCCAGCGGGCAACTGCAGGCGCTCATGCGGGATCCCATACTGCAGGAGAAGCGTGCTGAACATGTCATCTTCCAGAAGTACGCATTGGAGCTGCTCGAACGCATCTCCGGCAAGACAAAAACGAAGGCACTCACACCGCTCGATCCGTCGCTCACCAACATGCACAAGGCGAACGTGATCGCCCAGACGCGCATTCAATACAACGAACAGCAGCTCTACCAGCTCATTTTCGAGCACCTGGAGAGTAAGGGCCTCACACAAACCGCTCAGATGCTGCAGCGGGAGGTGGGTCTGCCCTTGCAAACAACGACGACGCGCAGCTTTCATCAGTCGCCCTTCGACTTCAAGGGCTTATCTGGCATCAGCTCAATGTCGCGCAGTCGCCTGAGAAGCCGCATGGCCGATGTCTCTGCGGCCATCATGTCCAATGGCGATCAGAGTCGCAGTCTGTCAGAGGATGCGTCGCCGCATTGCAGCACTAGCGCCTGCACCTCGGGTACGGCCAATGGATCTTCTGCAGTGGGCGTGCCTGGTTTCAGCTACCTCAGCGCCCAAACACCCATTAAACTGCGCAAGACAGAGCGTGCCACATCCTCGGTAACACGTTCGTTGCAGAAACAAATCAGCTTGGTCAATCCGGAGTCAAGCGCTGTGGGACTGCCGGATGAGTTGACTGTCTCTCCGGCTCTACATCCGAAACGGGTGACGCTCAATAGCATTGTGACAGAGTATCTGACGAATCAGCACTCGCTGTGCAACAATCCGGTCACCACCTGTCCACAGTTCGATCTATATGAGCCGCACAAGTGCCCAGATCCACGGCCCAGCCGTCAGGTCAGCTCCAACTACAATTTGACCTCCCGGCATTTCCGCACCCAGGCAGGCTTCAATACGGCACGCTACGATCGCCGGCATGTCCACACACATTTTGCGCCCTGGCGTACAATGCGATCTGCGGACTATGATGATTTGGAGTTCACGTGCTGTGATGTGGTGGGCAATTACCTAATCGTTGGCACACACCAGGGCGAGAGCAAGGTGTTCAATATGAACGATGGCGTCGAACAGTTCTCCTCCATATGCCACACATACGGCGTGGATGCCATACAGGCGAATCGTGCCGGAGATCTCGTTCTGACCACCAGCCTGTGGCGTTTGCGCACCACCATTTTGTGGTCCATCACGGACAACGAGTTCCGCTCCAAGCTGCGTCTGCCCGAGGTCGGATACTGTGAGTTCAGTCAGACCACACAGGATCGCTTACTGGGAACCCACACGGATGTACGACAGAATGACTTCAACTTAGTGGAATATCAATAATAATATATTTGTTATTTGCAGTGCGCCGTTTTGTATGACATCAACACGGGCTCCAAGGTGTCCACATTTACACCCACCATACCCAATCAATACACCAAAAATAGAGCGACGCTGTGCCGCACTGACGAGCTGCTGCTCTCAGGTGAGTTCCACAATGTCATGTAAGAGTCTAAGAAAGCATTTTCAAGCTTAACTCTTGCAGATGGCGTGCTCTGGGATGTTCGTTCCGGCAAGGAGATTCATAAATTCGATAAGTTCAATCAATGCATCTCGGGCGTATTTCATCCCAATTGCCTGGAGGTAAGCTTCTATATCATATTACCATGTAACGATCTAGATTGAATGTCCTCGTTACCCTTATAGATTATTGCAAATACGGAGGTATGGGATCTGCGAACGTTTCATCTGCTGCAGACGGTGCCGGTGCTGGATCAGCGTAACTGCACATTTTCGCCCATGCATGTGATTTATGGCGCCAGCTTGGGTGCCGATCGGGATCATGATATGGAGACAACTACCTACGATACGAGCTTTAATGTTTTGGATGCTTACGACTATTCGAGCATTGCAACCATCGATGTGAAGCGTAATATCAACGATTTGAGCGTCAGTGCGAACGGCAGCCTTATTGCTGTTGTGGAGGATCACAGCGGCTATGATTCGAAGCAGGAGACCTACGTGAAGATCTATGCCGTTGGTGTTAAAAAGAGCGAACGTTCGGAAGAGGTGCGTGCGGTTAAGGATCTGGCCGTCGATGAGGGCGTCGTCAGAGGCGGCGGCGGCACGTCCGCATTAGAGGAGCCGTCACCGCCCGCCAATGCGCCAGGCGGTGAATCTGCGCTAATTCGCATCGTCGAAGAAGCGGCACGCCCACATACGCCAGAGCCAAACATGGCGTTGCTCAATGCTGATGCACTTGCAGACGCAGGCGCAGATGCAAATGCAAATGCGAATGCGAATGGCGGCATTGGTGCTGGCGGGGCTGACGACGAGGCACGCGCCCGTCGTCCAAGCCGGCTTAGGCAATCGTCACATGCCAATTCAAATCTGGCTCGCCAGCATGCACCCAACAGCTCAATTGTTGGTGTGCGACGGCGAGCACGTACACTGGGTGGTGCCGGTGCCGTTGCCGGTGCCGGTGCAGCCATCGAGCTCAGAACGCTCATGCGGATGCAGATGCAGATGGATGATATTGAATTTAATATTCTGTCTATGCTTGCAGGAAGATGATGAGGAGGTGCCCGAATCTAATGAGGAGGGCTCCGACACGGGCTCCGATACGGGCTCTGAAAATGGTGAGTGATCTGATCAATCAGAATTTCCATAATCGAGTTTATGCTCTACTCACATCAGCTTTTCCATTAGGTCCAACTTTCCTCGGTTTCCCGTTACGCAGCCATCGCAATCGCAATTTTATTGATATTGATTCCTCCAGCGATGATGATGACAACGATACTGATCTAGAGGATGGGGAAGATGACGATGACGACGATCTTGAAATGATTGAATTCGAAATGGGTGGTAAATTCTATTTAAATTTCCCTACAACCACACGCATATAAATCATGATCATCTCTCTACTCGCAGAATAAGCCGCCCAGTCCAGATATAGAAAATCGCTGCCTTGGCCCAGAGGTTTATGTTTTTCGTGTACGTCGGGCTCGCTATTATCCCCCTCTATAGAAAAGAAGCTATATCATCGCTAAGTTTTGTTAGCTGTTATATTATATATTGTTTGTACAAATTAACGTGTAAAGTCTCGAAGAAAAAAAAAAAAAAAATTATACAATACAACAAAAAGAACTTGTTGAAAAGCAACTGTATACAAAAAAGAAAAGAAAAAAAAACACTATTAAAAATAAGAATTGTTTAACAATTTCAGAGTTTTTTAAAAATTATATACTTTTCTATGAATAAAAGAAAAAGCATACAAAATAAACTCAAGAAAATATTTGATATTAAACAGATTTGTATTAATATTAAGTGTGATTATAATTTAATATTTACTTATTAACATAAATTTAAGTACCGAATAATGCTTTTGTATTTTGATTTGTAATATTTTAGAGTATATGACATTGCATAGGCAATCGTTGGGTATGGACAAAATGTTTGAACCCATTATGATATTGGGCAACAGGTAATAGGTAAATGGGGTCGCGGTGTTTGCGCAGTGTTATGTGCTTGGTTTTTACTATCTTATCTTGGACTCGTATTGAGAAATGACGTGCCGGCCAAATGTGTTCGTTCAATGATTAATCAAATCAGTTGTTTGGCTGTGCGAACGCACTCGTCTCTGAATCTGCCAGTTTATCCTTCAGCGCATAGATAAATATGGTTATATGGCTACATTCGGTATTTATCGAGAATTTGCGGTCAAGTTGAATGCTTTGAATTGAGTCGAAATAGCTGCTACTTAGAATTGCGAGTTTTAGTTTCAATTTGCCAACGATAGCGCGCGCACCTCGATAGCGGAATACTTAAGATCGCCACTCGTAGCCGAGCCATGTACAAATCTAGCTATGTCTTGGGTGTTGCGCTGCTGCTGGTGCTTCTATCCACGTGCTGCCAGGCGTACGAGGAGCGTCCAGATTTCTGCATAGAAACGGAGCCGATGCTCTTGGCGGATATCAAACGGCAAATGGTTGCTCCTCTACAAAATCAATCGAAATGCAATATAACTGCAACATTATTGACGCCAAATGAAAAGGTGAGTTCCAATAATGCAAACGGGCAATTCAAATTTAATGAAGTGCAAATTTTTTAATGGATTGCCGATACGGGCTCATTATAAAGCAATTAAACATAGGTATACATATATATGAGTAATCTCTCACTCATAAAAACTCTAATTGAGTGATCAAAATAGTCGCTCAAATCCGCCACCTTATATAGCATTCAATCAATCAGCCGAGGTGAAGGTTAAGAGTTCGGTTCGGGCAGTCAATGTGAACAAGTTGAGCAGAGATAGGTCCTTAAATGACAATTTCAAGTCACTTGAATCATGGAATATGTCCATGTCCATATACATATATACATACATATAGTATACATATATTATATAGCAAATAAATCAGCTTAACTCAATAAGCACTGGCACTCCATAAACTGTGTAGAGGAGATATTCCCAATTCAATCAACTGGGCGATAAAGAAAGCGGGCGAACGGGAATAGTGTCTGTGAATAGATAATGCGAACAGCTTAGATAACGGCATTATTTATGCGTGTGCTAAATTAAGTTTTCTGTGATTGACTAATCCACAGGAAAGACTGTATGATACCATATGCGCGGATCACGGCTCCTTGACTATCAAACGGAGCAATCATCACTTCTTCAAGCTGCTCAACGGCGAGCTCTATGGGCGTGGAGAACAGAACGACATATGCAAGGGAGGAGTGGACTCAGTGCTGGCCTGGGTGCCGTACAAGATCATGATGCAAAACTATGCGACCGAACTTAATCCCAGCGAGCGACTCAGCTACATAGCAAAGGCGACCAGTGTGGAGCGCGAGAAGACGGAGCTCTGCCACTTCCGGCACACCGATCTGGTCAACAACGTGATGGACAGTCTGTTCACCTGTGTGGTCATGATCTTTGAGGATAACTTTGTGAGTAAATTCAGCATATGTTATTGTATGATCTCTAATAGCCAGGGCTCTCTTTATAGTATGGCATAGATGACAGCATTAATGTTCTAGTGGAGTTGCAGCCGGTGATGTACCAGCTACGCAACATCACCTACCAGCCATGGCGCAACATCACCAATAGCTACAAAATGCGCCTCGGCGACGGCGTGCTCAAGAATCCCAGCGCACAGCGTAAGCCCATCTATGGCAGCCTTAGCTATGCATATGTCGAGAAGATTCGCTTGAACACAAGCAGCTTCTACAACGACGATCAGCTGGAGAAATTGCCGCTGCTGCTCGAGCATCGCGGCGCTATGGTGGAGCTGGATATAGACGGTGTGGGCGGCATAGATGTACAGGAGCAGGCGTATTTCGGACGAACCATGGATGCCCGCAGCGAGGTGAAGGTTCAAGTGATTGGCCAGTGGATGGATCTGCATAGAGAGATTAGTGCCGACCTGTACAATTATTATGGCTTCGGCCTGCAACATTATAGGCAGCACATATCTGGTGTCCAACTGACGTTCGTACGCATCGACGACACTGAGCCGGCATTCGAATCACCGGAATCCAATAATCTGGTCAAAGCGTCGTTGTTCCGGGACATGGATTCAGCGCCAGCCAGGATGAGCGTAAATGGTTCAGCAGTATTTACGGAGTGGGAGGTGGAACATCAGCAGGCTGATGATTCCTTCTATCCCTGGTTTGTGATCAGCTGCCTGCTCTTTGGCATAATTGTGCTCATCCTGGTTTACGGAATTGTTCGTGTCTACAATAAAAAGACTAAGGAGAGGCAAAAGTATGAGCTGGCCAACACCAGTAGCACGCAGGCCAATGCCGCTTAGAAGTTAAGAAACATTTTCATACAGGATATTCAACAAATTTTGTTCAGAATTTAATTAAAGTTTTTTATGAATTCAAACGCGTTGTTTTTTATTTGGCAAGCAGCTGATTGATTAGCTTGATTTTTGCTGTTATTAACAAATCGATATCTCTGTTATACAACGATGTTAAAACCATGTGTATGTGACGTCACATTTGTTATGGCAGCTTAATTTGTGCCCGTTTCGACGGCACCTTATAAGAGCTTTCGTCATGGCATGACAGTCCTTAAAGTATTCGTACCCGGCGCAGCTGTTACGTGGGCGTGTGTGATGCGAGTGAGTGTTTTGTGGGGCAGTTGCTAATTAATAAATGTGCCTATCTATTAAAAAGTGCATTGGCGGACGACAGAAAGTCGCAAAAAGTGCAATCAAGCAAGGCACAGTGAAATTGTGAAAAAGTGTGTGTTATATGTTCTGTGAAATGTAAAATCCGCAAGCTGGCGTCCTGTTAATTCGCAAAAGGTATGTATCTTGTTTATAGACACCTACCAACCAAATCTGAATATTAATCCATTTAGTTAGTAAGCTTAATTGTTAATTGTTCGATCTACACAAAGAATGCACATGTGTGTACGTGTTTGTTGTTTGTTTTCTACTCAACATTTGGTGTGTTTTTGTTTTGGGTGAGTTGGCAGCCCCATGAACTATAACCACGCCACATACGCATATCTCACTCACACAAGCAGAGGACGGGGCGAAGCAAAAAAGAGAGCTCTATATACGTGTAGCGCGAGTGTGTGGGTAATCGTCGTTTCACGTCGTTTCAGCTAACTCGCGGATTCTGCAGTCGACAGAAGAAGACAAAAGCAGGAACAGCACCACTGCGGTTGCACAGAAATTTCATTCATCGAATTTTTATTAATTTGGTACTGGTCGAAGTCTAGTTATTTCATTTCCTTGCCAGAATAACCAACTGGTGCACCATTTGTTTTTGTTTCGCATCATTTCAAAACAAACTCGTGCTTTAGTGCTTAAAATGTGAAATAAAATGAGTTTTTCGCATTGAAATCGCGTGACGCGGCCATATTTAAAAAATAATTTAATGTCCAATGCAGTGCAAAGTCGAAGCGAGGCTACATAAATTATATAAATAGTGCTTGGGTAAGTCAGTTTTTGGCTTATGCTGCTAAAAACCTTGACCAAAAGTGCGAAAAGTATGAGAATTTAATCGGATAATTGTTAAAAATGTAATGCTAATACATGCAAAACATATTTGTTTCATTTGCTGCGAAAGTAGTAAAAATATGATTTTTCGCTCGCACCAACACCAGGATGGTAAATTGTGTATAACTAGTTGTCGTCGTCGTCGTGTCGTGTCAGCAATATAGTTGTCTCGCTTGCACCGCTGGCCGCGAGCTGCCAGAGCGTTGACCAAACGTCAGCGCTGCCAGAGTATCTAAAGCGCTAAAATTTGAAATTGCGCTTATCAACAAAAATTCTCATATATTTCGCCTGTGGCAAAGGTTTACAGTAAAATGAAGCAACAAGTGTTAAATTCCGTAATGCTTATAGAAAGAAACTTCAATTGAAGGATTTATCGAAGCCGTCGCCATGATGGACCGTAAAAAGGTACTGGAATTGGACAAAATCTGCCGCTTATGCATTTCGGAGCGCAAGGAAATGCGTCCGCTGTTCAGTGAAAAAGTACCGGAAATGCTGATGGATTGCACCAGTGTGCGTGTCGAGCCCACCGAGGGCTGGCCCGACAAAATCTGTGTGCAATGCGTCCATGCAGTCAGTCGGAATCATGCATTTAAGTCGCTTGTCGAGCGTAGCGACAAAGAGCTCCGTGAATATATAAAGAGCTTGACGGTACGCCTCGGAATGGATGAGTCGCTTACCCCACAAGAGCGCAAGCAGCAGAAGCTGCTGCAAAAACAGTTCAAGCATCAGCAGCAGTTAGAGGAGCAGCACCAAAAACTGGAGCAGCAAATACTGCAGCAACAGCAGCAATTGCAACAGCAACAGCAACAGGAGCAACAACAACAACAGCAGCAGCAACAACAACAGCAACAGTCACCTATATATCTTCTACAACAGCCACATCAATTACAACAGCAGCAGCAGCAACATCAGCCGAAGGTATAAAATTAAAAGAAATCGTGCACCAGATTTACTTGATCAATTCTCTTGTTTCCACTCTCGCACAGCCCAAGAACAAACTGAAACCACTGCAAAGAAAGGGCAGCTCGCGGCAGTCAAAGAAACACCAGGAAATGGTTCACCTTCTACCGGAGCCAGCGCCTCCGCCGCCACCACCACTACTCCAACAACAGCAGCAGCCACAACAGCAGATACAACAAATTCAGCTGCCAACGCTGCAGCCGGCGCCGGCGCAACTGATGCCAACAACGACGGCACAGCAAATCCTCTTGCCGAATGGACAGTTAATAACGACCCAAATAGTGACGCCGCAGCTGGCGCAGATTATCAGCCCTCAAACGACGGCATCGAATGCCGCAGCGTCGGCACAGGCTCAATTTCTGCCCCAGTTGCTGCAGGCGCCCAATGGCCAAACGTTACAAATTGTTCAGCAGCCGAACGGCACACAGACGCTACAGCTGGTGCAGTTGGTGTCGCAGCGAAGCATGGCGCCGGCGATAACGACGACCACGACAACGGACATGTGCACGACGAGCAATGGAGCTTCGTTAGCCGATGCGGATGTCCAGCTGCTGCACGATGGCGAAATGGACGATGAGGATCTGGACGAGGTCTACGATCACTTGGACGGCAAGGGCCACACCTTTGAGACAATAGTCCTGGACGATGATCAGCAGCAAGACTTTCTAAAGGATCAAAATCGTCAAGTGCTCATCGACGAGGAATACACGCAAAGCGACACACAGGAGCAGGAGACAGACGAATACTTTGACGAGCAGCTGCTGGACCACGAGGATGGGGTCAAGCACGAGGATGACGATGATGATAATTTCATCATAGAGGAGATTCAATTAGATGAGGACGATATGCTTGAGGATGCGGATGGAGAAGTCGATGGCGATGGCATGACGAACGTGGACGAATGCGAGTATATAACCGATGACCAGGACCACGGCCTCGGCGGCGATGTCGATGATGAGCTGCACTATGCCATAATGGAGCCGCCCGATGGCGATGTCAGCGCCAGCGACATGGATCAGGCTTTCATAGATGTCGAGCAGCAGCAGCAGCAGCAGCAGCAGCAACAACAACAACAACAACAACAACAACAGTTGCAGGAGCAGCAACAACAGCAGCAGCAGCACCAGCAACAGCAGCAGCAGCAATCTGTGGACCTGCAGAGCATATCGTTGGAGAATGCTGTCGTAGAGTTTGGACAGGATGCATTGGTCGCACCCACGTTACATGTCAACAGCACGCCCAGTCCCACGCCCAGTTCAGCGAAACGTGCGCGTCGTGGCAACACGCAAGCGCAATCACAATCGCAAGCGCAACTGGTGGAGACTCCGTGTAACCACCAGCATAGTCCGCCCACCATAAGCAGCAAGCTGGCGGCGGCCAATTCGCGGCAGCTGGTGCAGACGGCGTCAGTGATAGCAGCAGCCGGGGCTGATGACAATTACGAGATCGATGCGAATCTTGTGACGGAATTCATCAGGCAGCATACATCACCTTTGGGCTCGGGCCGTTACATCTGTCACCTGTGCAGTACGGAGTTCCGGCAATTCAAGGGCTTGCAGAGTCACATGCACTCGCACACCAATTGGATACGGGCCAATTGCAAGAAGCAGCCCCAGTGCGAGATCTGCCTGAAGAGTTTCAAGGGGCCGGGCATGCTGCGCATGCACATGAAGACGCACGACGCGGAGACGAATACGCCGCTGTGCAACATCTGCAATCGTACTTTCAAATCGAAGGCGATACTCTACAGGCACCGGCAGACGCATCAGCAGCGCGCCTATTGCTGCGGCGTGGCCAACTGCCGCAAGAATTTCTCCAATGCGGCCAATCTGCGATGGCACGTGGAGCGCAAGCATCCGGAATGCGTTGAGCCGCTCTATAAGTGCGGCGAATGCTCCACCCTGTACGACCACATCGACAGCCTGCAGCATCATGTGGAGAATACAGATCATGGCAGCAATGCCAGCGAAGCACAAACAATTATCACCAACAGCTCCAATGCGGCATTCAGCGGTGCCGTTAGCATTGTTAGCAATGGCACCGACATGTCCAGCATGATAGCCGCCGCACCGAACGCCCTCAGTGGCACAACGGCCACTGGTGATACGCATGCCGTTGTCGTCGGCTCATCCGGGGAGATGTACTTCGTGACGCAGGCGTAGCCAACGCAGTTCGCCGACATTGCCGGCAACTCCGAGTGCCTGCTCGGCATGTAAATCCTAAACAGGCATCTAGATGTAAAGAGAGAATAACTAAATACACAAGCATATATATAGACATATATACTGACATAAATATATATATTTTTATACTACCCCATAGGCTATGTATACGTAAATATAGTTTGTACACATACATACACACTCTCACATCCACATCCACACCCACACAAACACCTTGCAATCCTAGTTGTCTGTCAATGTAGATCGTTCGTAGTACTCGAATTTTTGATATGGCATTCAAAGTGTAAAATATTAATTCATAGAAAAGCCGTTCTTAGGCATAAGTTTTTAGGTTTTAGCCAAAAAAAAAAAAAAAAAAAAAAAAAAGCCACATTGCGGCTCAACATTATAAATATATATATTCTGTATGGCTATAGAATATTGTGTACATCCGAAGCTGTTCATTGCGGCTATAGATGTAACCAGATTTGATTTTCAGACTGGATTTTACTTAGACTAAATTTTTCGGCTTGGTTTTCATTGTTGGGCATTGATTATTACTAAAAACAAAGCAAAAAAAAAAAAAAAAGTAAAGCATAGAATTGTTTTAAATGCAAATAAAATTTAAATAACTATATTATAGCTACAATTGTTGTTTAACTCACGTGTGTTTGCTGAAATTTACACAAACCGCATAACACCCTAAGCCGCTTTTCTTTCGCTTGTTACAGTTAGCTGGCTGAACAGCATAAATTAACGGGCAAAAGCAATTGAGGTTGTCAAGGTCTCATCGTTGATCGATTCCCTTTAACGACAGCGACACGTGCCTAGCCGGTTAGCAGGCAAACCATTCCATTTAATGGGTATTACCTAAGGTATAAGCTGTTCTATTTTTATTCATTCCGGGTATTACATCTCGAAATAGGCATATACATTTCCATATCTTCCATATCGAATATAGCTTGTTAAAGAAGTCGCCAATAACAATTTTCTATAAATAAGTATATGCGCATTGATATGGTTAATATTGAGTGGTTCTCTTTCTATTATTTCGATTGAATTTTGGTTTCTAATTTACTGCTTCTGCTAAGGCGATAAATTGGAAATTTGATTCCATCTGAATGGAGAACGTAGTAGCATTTCAATTTTCTTTTAAATAGAAAATCTTAAACAAAAGACGCAATTCAATCGCCCTCAAATATGGATTTGCTTTTGGGTCAGCTAGAGCTTACATCGTTTCTATGAATGTTGTTTGTGCTGCCTTTGAGGCTCTATACCCTGTACATATTACTAACTTCAGAAATGTCCATATGAACGACTAGTAGCTAAGATTCTATTAAAAAATATTGTTTATGGACGTGTGCTAATTATTTTATATACTATATACATATATAAACGAATATTATCTGGGCTTACCAAAAAAATATATAGTATATATACGTATAATATATAATACTATGCGCATATCATTAGAATAGCGTTTATCCATGATTTCAATGACTAATGCCGTGTGAATTGAAACAATTTCGTGTTTCATGTTTTGAGCGTGCTAAAAATCTGTTTTGAAAACTATTTTGTCCGCATTCTTCGCATTCATTTTATATGAAATGAATTCTTCACCTTCCATGCCACCGCCCACCCCGCAGTGCAGGTTTTCTAAATAATGGACCTATTTACGTAGGTGAGAAACATAATAATTATACTCATTTTAATTTCATTAGCATCTGAAGAGGCAACAAAGTGACAACACGAGAATCACGTCACGTTCGATTAAAATTCAAGCGAATTCAATTAAGACTTCTTTAATTTAGTTTCTCTAGATATGCTGGTTATCAAATAAATATTTATACGCTTTTAAATCTGATTTGAATGTGAGTTTTTGCCTTTTTGTTTGATTTATTAACTATTAATTTATTTAAGTTTTTCTACTAAATGCATTGTTTTCAAGAAAATTTGAAAATATCTCCTCTATGTATGTCAGCTATTCTATCTACATATATGAGTCATTTTCACTGTAGGATATCTACAAGTCGAGCTATGTTTAAATGCGTACATATATCTTAGCTATACACCAGCAATAGCAAATGTATGTATGACACAACTTGTTACAGGGTATCATTTGATCGAGCTTGTGGAACAATTCAAAAATCGCCATCATTCATATTCGATGACTTCCAACTAAATCATAAACGTTTATAGCAGAAAAAAATGCAATTGTGACTCATCAGGGTACAGAGTATCTTTTAGTCGTGTTTGCCTAACTAGCTAACAAAAAGGTGCAATAGACCTAATATATGATATAGCTCTCAATATAGATATCTATGCTCCAGCTATGTCTAACCCAACTGCTGACAGGATATCTCCTAGTCGTGCCCATGCAGTCATTCTGGATTACCCAGTGCGTCACTTAATGCGCAGCAGTTTATGGCATATTGCAGCATAGTTTACAACGCAATTCGTTAATTTGGCCGACTCTTAATGAGCTTCTGCTGAAATTTGGCCTAAAAAGCCAAAACAAAAACAAAAATTGAATATTATTTTCGTTCTTGGTTCATTTACAGGTGCCGTTCGGGGCATATCAGTGGGGCACAGGTGAGCTGCTTGGACACACGCTCCATCTATATAAATAATTATCAGATGGTAAACTCAAGTGCACACTCGGCCATATAGCCTGACTTGCCTGTGTCAATATTATTGTCCAATTTGATAATTATTATTAATTAGCAGTCAAATTTGGCGAATCCATAAGAAGTGCTGACAATCGAAAATCCCAGAAATTTCACATTATTTATAGCGAAATTGATTTGCGCAGTCCGATTAGATAACCAATTGGAGCGGGCTTCAAGTTCCGTTCCTTTTATTCCGTTACATAGGGCCCAGAACGACGACAAACTGGGATTGGAGTGCGTGACTACGCGTCGCTTTAGCTGAGCGAAGCATTAAGAACAATTTAGTAGTATTAACTTGCTGTCTGAATAAGTTACACATATATTGTAGTTCATATATGAATATATAATTCATATGCCAAGTGCTGTTAGGAAATCAATAATTCAAGGGGTGGGAAATTCCAGATACTAAATTCACATGACATCATTTTGCTTTGGGTTTTAGAAATTTCTCTAGATAGTATATATAGTAGCAGAAAACGACTTTATATAACTATAGATATAGATAGATATATATACATATAAAAGCCATGAAAATTTTATGATGAAATGATTATACATTATGGAATACTTATGCATCCTTGAACTTTCTAAATGACTTGGAAGTGCCAAAAACTGTGCAAATTCTTCTTATACAGCTTGTATAATATATATATGTATATATTTTTATATATGTATATATATATATTCATATTCATATTTATAGCATATGTTTTAAATGTGCTCAAAAATCTAATTGAAGAGAATAATGAATTGCGATCGCTTTCAGGTTTTCCGCACAAGTGAGATTATATCAAATTTAATTGATTTGACAAGCTAGAACAAGTGTATATACAAATACATTAAAAATATATATACTTATATATATTTGCACGATTTCACTTGGAAAATTCTTGTGATATTAGCAGCTGAATTATAATAATTAAATATTAAATATGCTCATTAAAATTATATGCATACCTGCGCACCGATTTATCGTTATATATACATACATATACATATATATCTCATATCTCGATTCGTGCCAAATGTGAACGTATTTCATGCATGAATAATCATTCCGAAAAGCATCGCCAAGCCAAGGGATATTATATATTTTTGAATATATATTGAATAATATATGAAAGCAGCTGTGGGCTGTCAGTAATTAGATTTATTTAATTGCAATTTGATGTAGGTATACATTACAGCAGATGTGAGATGGTACCTAGTTAAAAGGGTGTTAAAATGTAAAATTGATGTAACAGAGAGTATGACTTCATAAAGTATAGGTATTATAACCATTATATTGATATTAACTAAATAACAGATTCTATTCAGCCTTCTACGTACGTATTTTATACACTTAAAAGTTAGTTAAAGAAAAATATATATATAATAAGAAAAATATAAAATATAAATATAATATTAAATCTGTATCAAAATAATGTTATTCAGGCATTAACATTGATGTAACAGAGAATAGGATTTTAAAGATTATATAAGTTTTATTGATTAGAATGAGCAACAGATTCCGTAAAGCCTTCGACGTACGTATAAAATCTATATAAATGACAAAAACACTTTTCAATCTTCGATAATATAAAGCTTCATGTATGTATAAGACCTTTCACAACTATGGGAGATATCCCATTTCCTATTTCCATTTTAAAATTGAATAAAATTAACACATTAAATATTACTCCACGGAGGTCAAGGTATGTTTCCGTTGAACACTCCCGATTAAATTCTGTACACCCCTACTGCTTTCAATTATGTCATTATTCTATAGCAATTCAATATTGTTTATGAAGAGAAAACCCCTTTGAAATCATTCGACAGCCCATTTACATTCATGATTTGTTTATATTTGCTTCTTTGTTTGAATATTTTGAATAAACAAAAACAAAAGCAAATAGCCGATTCTAATTGTAGCTGACGAAGCAGCTTTTTGTTTATGTCATTCGAGAGAGAGAGAGAGTGAGAAAGAGAGAGAAGAGGCAGACGTTTGCCTTTTCCGACGCCGGAAGAAACCGAAAGCGAATGCTGCCCCCTCCTGTTTACAGTTCAGTTGAGTTGGAAACGATTCGCCATAGATCATAGATCATCGCTGATGCTGCCCGCGATTACGTACGATGCGTAAGATGCAGTGAGTGAGGGAATCGTTTTGATGTAGGTTCTGGTCAGCGTTCTCTTGTCGCTATAAATGTACCGAGTCCCGCCCCTCTTGACGAAGCTTTCTTTGCTCTCTGCTAGACATTGACGTAAGCGCAGAGGAAAACAAAATATTTCTAATGCATTATAGTCGACAGTCGGGCTATATAAGTAAGTACAAGACATTAGCAATAATTCGAGTACTTAGCTGACTGATTCTATATTGATCTGATTTGGTTGTCGATTCGTATACCCTAAGCAGTTTCGATATGTGCATTAGGGTATGATGGGTTGATGGAAATGTATGCAGTCTAGTTGATTTTATAAGGCATGAAAACATTGGCTCACTATGCTTATATTAGATATATGAAATATAATTAATTGTATACATCTTGATCTTTATTTTCATATTTTACAAGATTTCATTTATGGGTTTCAATTATAAAAGATTTGAATTTAAATTTTGAATTTAATTTGATTTGAATTTGAAGTTTTAAAATAAAATAAAAAATATTATTATATTTTATTTGACATTTTTGCTAAAAGTTTTAATCTACAAT